GTTGGTTAACATTTGTTTATCACAGTTTTGTAAATTCCCAGAGCTGCTCTATTAGACGGGATTACACTCAGAACGGCCTCTTCTGTAGTTTGGTTTTTGGGGCTAAATTCTTTGCAGCATATTTCAGGAGGTGGTGAGACACTCGACTCCACTCCTGCCCAACTCTGCGAGGCTTATGTTTTTGGAAATGGTTTTATGCACACAAATTACTCTTAATTACCCTCGAAGAGAGCCTTCACTGTTCAGCCTGAGTGTTCGCAACACACACGCTACACCGCTAAACGCAGCGCCGCCTACTGAAATGTAGACATTTATTCTGAAAAGCTTGTCGTTCCTTCATCTGCAGCTGCAACGAATAACGGATCCATCTTTTTGTAGGAAAAATCAGTCGTGATGTCTGACCTGTAATAAAGATATTTTAACTGATCTGTGAGTGGATGTGTAACAACAGCTGGTTTTTGGTTTTTACAGCGTCTCAAATTTTATCATCTCAGTTTTGCAGCTTGAAAAGTCTCAAATTTGTCTAGATTTTCCATCACCGTTACATTTGTCGCTTCTTCAGTCAATTGTTTTTCATTTTTATTCTAAAAGTTCTGTGTTTTATGTTTCTGTCTGAGGATTTCAGATGTTGTTATGCTATAACAAATTCAGCCACATAAATATCACATCGTTTTCACATAAATGCCATTTGACCAACTAGTACGGCTGTTGCGAGTTACGAGTTACGCGAAGGGATTTCCTGGAGCTACGCGTCACATTTTTTCTGTCATGAGGCGGGTACAAAGAGACCGATGAAAGACTGCTCCTTTTGCAAAATTGAAAATGTATGATATCACAGGGACGGACTGACCTGGAGTCTGTCAAACCTTCGTAGCCAAAAGGTGCCGAAGTTGCTTGTTTTGTGTGTTTTTAATCTGAAATTAACTTTAGTCGCCATGATGTCAAACATAAACAAACATCAAAGGTTTCATAAAATTAGGTTGGTGCTAGGCCCAGTTTCTTGTGATACGGTTTTTCTCGTCCCCTCTTCCACTTTTGAGCCCGACCGAGTTATTTTCCGAGTCCAAACAATGATGGTTTTCCACATGCAGGACTTTCCCCCTGCCTTCGTTTGCACCGCCTCCCCCATTTTCTACAAAAGGTGCAGCAAAAGTATACTTTCTTCTCTCAGCTTGAATAATTAGTTGTAATTGGCACAACGTTTTTCCCCTTCCTGTCATACCTGCAAACGTTGTTAACAGGAGGAAAAACAATAAATAATTTTCATTTTGTATTCAATGATTTGAGGACTCTTTTGGGTTTTGTTAGAATTTGTCTCTTCACTGTTTTACTCATTTTTTAAAGCCCGTCCTTGTGATTTCTGTGTTGACGCTCGGGGACGTTTTTTAATGTCCTCGTCAATCCCAGCTGCAGGAAATGCTCGCTCCTCATCCTGTGTAAAAGCTACGTACTGTAACGAGTACTCTTGTCAAACCCAGCTCAGGAGTTTTCACAGGCAGGCTGTTCTGAGTTCCCGTACAGAGAACTGTGACGACGGCGTGAAGACGATGCCCAAATTAAAACGAGGAGCACGGCCGTCCGTGACTCACTGCTGCAGGCAGCTATCTGTGTGAAACTGTGATCCAGCTTCATTTAGCTAGCACCGTCTTGTGCATTTAATTCAATTCAAATCAAAAATACTCTATTAATCCCAGAGGGAAATTAAATGTTGTTGTAGCTCATTTTCCTTGTTTCATAAAAGAGTTGTTCTAGATGTTGATGGTTGTGGGCAGGAAGGATCTCTTGTGATGGTCCGTCTTATAGCAGATCTGAAGAAACTGGCCACAGATGTTGATCCGTTTACTTGCACTTGGTTGGCCTCCTGGGCTTCAGGATCACCTGAATGTTGGGCAGAAATCCTCCCAGGGCAATGGCCACTCCTCCCAGCAGCTTGTCGAGCTCCTCATCGCCGCGGACAGCCAACCGCAGGCGCCGACGGACGATCCCGTCCCTCCGCCGCCACGAGCCGCGTCCCCCGCCAGCTCCAGGATCCCAGCGGTCAGGCACTCGAGCACAGCTGGCAGGTAGATGAAAATGCGTCCACAGAACATCCTTTTCAACTCGTTTGAAATTTAGGGCTGTAGTTGAGATATTACTTGAGCTTTTGAGATGTTAATCAGCTGCTGTTGGTTGTAGAAACTGCCTTGTTGCCATGGTTACGCATCATAACAAATGTCCAAAACTAAAAAAGTTTCAGTAAAAATCCTTCCAGCTGCACAACATCCGATACCAGAGGAAACAATCATCCAAAAAATGTGATTTACATCCAGAAAAAAAAAGAATTAAAGTTTCCACAAGCAAAATCTCAGAATGAAAGTAAACGTGAAACGCAAGGAATTTAGTCAGTATTTTATTCTCTCCAGACAGTGGCCTTGTGGTTTAAACGGTAAACAAAACAAACCTGACGTTGACTGATTGATATTTGATGTTAGATAGTATCAGGTTTCTGGTCCGGCCTCACAGCACAACAGATTCAGTTATTTGTCACTACTTTTATGCTCATCCTGGTGGTTTTATAACGGTGTAATGATGATGATGAAGTGCTGACACGAGACAGCATGCCCGTCCTCCTTTACGTCTGTTTGTTCTTCTCTTCAGTTCAATTTAATCCAGTTTATTTATAAAGCTCCAAGTCACAACAGAAGTCGTCTCAGGGCTCTGGACAGAAACATTCATATATATAAAAATAATAATTTAACACTTTTTATCTGAGGAGCTTTGAGTTTAACTCCATCGCAGAACTCTCGTCTTGAGCGAGCATGAAGGCGACAGTGGAAAGGAAAAACTCCCTCATGAGGAAGAAACCTTTTAGCAGAACCAGACTCGGGTCAAGCGGCCGTCTGCTTCGACCGGCTGGGTTTGAGAGGAACAGAGTTTTATGTCTTTGAGACATGTTTGTAGTCTAATTGATTTGATCAGGTTTTGTTTTTGTCCCCTCCAACCCGCTCCTTAAACTTATTTTGCATCTGCCCAACAGGAAATATGTACTTTTAGATGTGACAAAAAGGATGGAAAAGCTAATAAAAAAACAAAACATTTGGCACCTTTTATCTTTTTTGTTGTTGTTGTTGTTGTTGGCTTTAGTTGTTCTGTGGAGATCTTAAACTACTGTACTAGGACAAACTAAAAATAAAAAATCTAATAAAAGCCAAGCTTCTCTAAAGGATATCACCCACTGTCTTTCATCCAGTGTTTAGATATTTTGCTAACAGACAGGCAGAGTCGTAGTAGTTAATGCCAAAGCTTGATCTAAGAGTTCTCAGAGTACAAGTTGGAGGTTTGGCTCCGTATCTGTCTCTGTAGAGGTGACTGAGTCAACTGTGGCGGCCATTTTGAACAGGGTTGTCTCCATAAATCAACCATTTAAAGACGTACGTTCAATATTTAGTTTCAAATAAAATCGGTCCACTTGTTGGAGAGATATTTTGCTGATGCTACATTTAAATAAACACATATTTTGGCAAAAACATTGTTGCTATTCGCAGCGGGCAATAACAAAGTCATTGTAGATACTTCTTGTCATAAAAGGCCTTTCTTTCTGTTTACGTGTATAAAAGTGTGAATTCTATTCACTCTATTCTGATCCATTTGTCTTCTGTACGTTTTTCCTCATCTTTCTCGTTCCACAATTTCTGTGCTTTTTCTCAACAAATCATAAATCTAAACGTTCAGCTCTTTCAGGACAATCCTGTTATGACTTTTGGTGTTGGTGCAACTTTAGCTTTTTGAAATATTTAGCCTTTTCTGCCATTTTTTTCCTCATAGAAAATGAATTGATCTCATTTTACATCCTTCAAATCTTTAGATCCGTTTAAAACCTTTTACTGCTCCTTTCACATTTTGTTCTGCTTCAGCTTCTTTCGCCTTCCTTGTGCAAATTTAAACTTTTTTCAGCTACTTTCAGCTGCTTTGTGCTCCTTTCAGATTCTTTCTGCAAACTACAAAATTTTTGCGCCTCTTCTAACTTCTTTCTGACAATTTCAGCTCGTTATGCTCCTTTCAGCTTATTTATGCAAGTTTCAGCTTTTTCTGCTATTTCAGCTACTATATAGCTCTTTTTGTGCTAATTTTAGCTTCTTTTTTTTTGGCTAATTCCACATTTTTTGCACTCATTTCAACTTTTGTCAGCCTAATTCAGCAAAAACATGCTCTCTCTACTTCCTTCGGTAATTTAAGCTTCTTTCTGCCGTTTCGGCTACTTTTCAGCTATTTCTTGCTAATTTCAGCCTTTTTTTTTAAGCTAGTTTACTAATTTTTGTACTCATTTCTACTTATTTAAGCAAAATTCATCAAATTTGTGTTTCTGCTTTCTTCTAACTTAATCTTCCATTTCAGCTACATGTCAGTACGTTTTTAACTAATTTAAGCTGTTTTTCAGCAAGTTCTTCTGCAAAAAGCATTCACACTGCATTTTCACAGTTAGTGCAATTTCTCTACTGCCGGTATACATTTAATTGGTTGATTCTTTATGGCAATCGTATGTCGTCGAATCCTTGTGTTTAGCTGTTTTTCTGTGCACAGTCTGAGTTTTTGTTCGATCTGCTGCAGCTTATGTAAGGTGTCCTGGATCTTGAGTACCCTCCACCACCCTCCGTGTCCGTGCACACGTGTGTTCATGTGTGTGACACCCAGCAGTGTAACGTAATGCTGACTCAGACTGGTTGTGTCACCAGCTGCTGCCTGTTACTGAAGGAAGACAGTGGTTTGTGTGGAGGGGGTGAGGAGGTTAGACTAAAATAGAAAAGTACAGATATGCTTTTTATTTTCATCATCCAACACATATTTGACATCTTCCTATTTCAGTCTCGACAGAAGTAGATGTCTGACAGCGGTTGTCTTTGTAGTAGATTCCTTGTTCACGGCAAAACTCCAGAAACGCTGGTTCTATTTATAAAGCGACCACTTTTAAATCTTTTAGTGCGCACTGATTTGACCCGGCAATCCTATTTTTGTGTCTTCAGGCCCAGATCGCCTTCCTGCAGGGGGAACGGAAAGGCCAGGAGAACCTAAAGAAGGACCTCGTCAGGAGGATCAAAATGCTGGAGTACGCGCTGAAGCAAGAGAGGTGAGTGCCTTGCAGCCCGCTGCTGGTTCTGCCCACACACGCACCTCATCGGTTCTAGTGTTTTCACTGTGCACCTAAAGTTAGCTGCTGCCTCG